TTCTTTTTTTTTTTTTTTAAAATCAATAGTTTATTTTTTAAAACTTTAAAATTTCTTTATAATATTATTCTAATTTTAAATTAAATTTCCAATTATTTTAAACTATTATTGCCCCTGATTAATTTTTTTTGGTTTTTTAAATATGCGGGGGGTAAATTTTTTTTTTTCGGGATTATATAACATTATTTATTACAAATTGACATAAAAAAAAAAAATAAAAAAATAATTTAAAAAAAAAAATAAACACATTAAAAAAAAAAAATCAATTTGATAGATGGGTGGGAAAGTCTTTGTGTTTTTTTTTTTTTGTTTTTTTGTTTTTTTCTTTTTTTTTTTTTTTTTTTTGGACATATAAATTAAATTAAACAAATTTACTATTTGAGTTTGAGGTTGTTTGTTGTTTTTTGTTTGTTTTTTTTTGTTTTATTTATTTTATTTTTTTTATTATTTTTTTGATTGAATGTGTTTTGAATGTTAGTGACTGTTGGTTATTTTATCATTTGGTTAAATACTGATTAAAAATATTGTAATTACTGATTTATTAATTCCTATTTTGTATACATTAACAAAAATATTCAAGTTTATTATTACTATTAAAATATTGCTAGTGATATTATTATTATTATTATGATTATGATTATTATTATTATTATTACGATTATTATTATTATTATTATTAATATTATTATATTATTAATATTATTAATTTTATTATTATTTTGATTATTAGTAAGGTACTAATGATTATTAATGATTAATGTTATTAATGATTATTATCACCGCAAATAATAATTATAATTTTGTTGTTATTATTCAAAATATTAACGTTATTTTATCGTTATTCACTATCTTTTTTTATTACCAATATGATTTGAAAAAATAAAACTAAAGATTTTGAAGTTGAAGTATAATAGAAGAAGAGGATAACTGTTGGGAACAAAAATATAATTTAAATTATAAAAATAATAAAAATAATAAAAATAATAAAAATAATGATAAAACAGAAAACAAAAATAGAAAACAAAATAAATTAAAAATTAAAAATAAACCTACATTCTATTCTACTGTTATGACCTGAATGGTGAATTGGTGAATAAATTGAAAAAATATGGAAGAAAAAATTTTTGCAAAACAAACCACGTAGTCAGTAAAAAATAATTTAAAATAAAAAATAAAAAAATAAAAAAAAAAATAAAAAAAATAAAAAAAATATTTAAAATGATGATTTTTGTCAAAAAAAAAAAGAAAGAAAAGAAAAAAAAAAAAAAGTTTTTCGTTAGATATATAGTTGTACCACGCCGTTTTTTTTGAAAATTTATTTATAATTTTATATTTTTTTTCATATTGGAAAAAAAAAATAAATAATTAAATAAATAAAAAAAATTTGAATCAGTTGAAAAAATATTTTTTTTTTTTTTTTTTATTTTTTATAATTATTTTAATTTATTACAATTATGCAATTACAATAATAATAATTACATATAACAACAAATACGGAAATACAACGCCACCATTCACCAAAAGTTTTTTTTATTAGATATTTTTGAAATTGTTGGGGTCAGCAATCACCATCAAATGAGTGACACTTTTTATTTTTTTTTATTATAATTATTTAATAGAATTGAAAAAAAAAAAAAATAAATTATTAATAGTTTGGAAATTTCTTGTTGGTTAAAAAAAATATAAAAATAGATTGAAATGATGTTTTATTTTTTGACTTTGTGGGAAACGGAAAAAAAGTAATTTTTGGATATTTTTTTTTTTTTTTTTTTGTTTGTTTTAATAAAAATAATAATTTATTTGTTATTGGTATTTAACTTTTTTTTAATATTGCTATTTATTTAAAAAATAATATTAAATTATTTATTTATTATTAATTTTAGTTTATCTATTATAATAAATTCCTTCCAAGAAGAAATCTTTTTTTAATTTTTCTAGGTGTTGGAGATTAATAATATTTATATTCTCCCCAAAACATAAAGACTCAAGCCAAAAGATTTAAATTTATCACCAAACTAAGACAAGAATCAAACTTTAATCTTTTGACATGAATTTTAATGATTTGGGGACGATATAAAATATTATAAAATCTCACTTTCATTTGATAATTATTTAAATAATTAAAATATTTCCTCTAAAATAAAAAAATTAAAGTATTAATAAAATAATATGAAATATTATATAATTATATAGAATATGGATACATACCATTAGGAATTGGTTTAGAATCGTTTATGAAAGCATGATGGTGGCTTTCAAAAAGTTTTTTCCACTCTTGGTAATAATGATGGGTACCTTGCTTTCTATTATAGGACCTTGTATTTACAACCAAAAAATCTCCATGAGTGGTAGTGCTATTAATGTCACTTTCATGAGCCATAGCAAACATATCTCTTCTTCCAGTATCCATATGCTTTATTCAATCCAAGTCAATAGAATTATATTGGATCTTATTTTTCTTGAATTGTGGGAAAATTAGATTTTTGGGTCTAAAGTTATTCTTGAAATTTAAACCGGTAGAGTTTGGACTTTCAATTGTGGTACTATTCGAGGGGGTGGAGCTAGCTATATCGAAAGCAACAAGGGGACACTTTTGGAAGTTCAAAAGTGAGCAAGTAAAATTGCAACTTTGAGGAGTGTTATGAGATTCTAATTGTTTTAAATCTTTCATAACAATTGTTCTATTATTTTTTACTATTGAAAACCAAAATTTGAAATCATCTTTTTGATTTAATATTGATAATAATTTATAATTTTCATCATTAATTATTATATTCGAACCAAAATAAAATGGTATATTATTATAACTACACCAAATCAAAATTATTACCATCTCTAATTGTCTAATTATTCTATAAAGTTTTGTATATAAGAGATTTGTTGGTTGATAATTTCTTTTATAATTGAATAATATTTATAGTTTTCCAAAAGAATAGCCATGCTTTGAAATGAAATTTGAATTATATTGAATCTTATGTTTCTTGAACTGAGGGAAAATTAGATCTTGGGGTTTAAAATTGTTGTTGAAATTTGAACCGGTAGAGCTTAGACTTTCAAATGTGACACTTTTCGAGGGGGCGGAGCTAGCTATATCGAAAGCAACAGGGGCAGACTTTTGGAGGTTCAAAAGTAAACAAGTAAAACCACTACTTTGAGTGTTGGCATATTTTAGTTGCTTAAAATCATTTAAAAAAATATAATAATAATAGTAATAATAATATATGAATCGTGAACAAACAATATAGATAATAATATTATACCATCCCATTTTGATTCACAAAGCTATATTGTTTTATTTATTTATTATTATTATAAAAATTTATAAAAAAAAAAATATTTATAAAAAAAAAAAGCAGGTAAACAATTTTTATTTTACCAAGTTTGATTGAACTTTGTCTTTTTGTGGCAATTAATAATTATTGAATAAAAAAACAGTTAACCATATTTTTATTTTACCGAGTAGTTCAGTTGAACTTTGCCATTTTGCCGCAATTAATTTTTTCTTCAAAATGTGTAACTTTATCGCGTGAACTAATTGAAAAAATTAATTGCCGCAAAATGACAAAGTTCAACTGAAAAAAAAAATAAAAAAAATAATACCAAAAACACTTAACAGGATTCATCAGAAAGATCTTAATAAATTTATTAATAAAACAGTTACAAATCAAAAAGTATTAAAATATCATCAACATTGTCATCACCTCGTTAAAAAAAAAAAAAATTGGTTTTTTATATTGTATTATTAAATCATAAATCCTTTTTAAAAGTTAATTTAATTTAATAAAATTATTTAAAATTAAATTAAATTAAATTCTTTAGATCTTAAAGTTTTTTTTTTAATTTTAGTTTATGCAATAAAGTAATAGATAATATTTTAATTGAATTATATAATTTTTTTATAATTTTATTTTTTTTAAATTATTTTTAATTTTTTTTTTTTAATTTTTTAGAATTTTTTTTTTTAGTTTTTTTAGAATTTTTTTTTTTAAAATCAACAATTTTTTAAATAAAAAAAAAAGATATTTATTTTCTCTCTTTATAATAGATATTAAATAAATAATAACAAATAATAAAGATGAATAATTTAAAAGTTATTTTATTTTTTATTTTTGCCTTATTGGCATTAAGCAGTGTCGATGCTATGGTAATTAAGAAAAAAATCGAAAGCAAAAGCGATTTTGTTATTTTAGGTAAATTCTGTTATAGTACCGTTCCAGGATCAATTTTGATTTGGGAAGCAAATAATGTTACCACCAACCCAAATGTCACTATTCAATTATACGATGATGATATTAATTCATGGGGTGCTGCCACAGCATCTGGTAATAGTTGTATCGATAAAGCTGGTTTTTCTCTTGATGATTGGCAAGCAAACAAAGCTAGAAAAGTAGTTTACCCAAAGGATACCCAACGTCCACACTTTTGGTACGTCGTAGCCACAAACTGTGCTGAAAATGGTCAAGTTGGTACTGTTGACTTTACTCTCACTTTCTTAAATGGTGGAAGTGGTTGGAATACTCAATTTTCATATGAAGAACAAGGTTTAGAGGCTTTATATTTAGTCTATTTCTTTGTTTTCCTTGGTTTATTTGGTTACACTGTTTTTACAACTTATAAACTCCATAAAAACAACTCACTTCATCCAATGATTATGATTCTTGGTGCTGTTGTTACTTTAGAATTTTTATCAGTCTTCGTTCTCTTATGCCAATATGGTTCATATTCACATAATGGTGTTGGTGGCAAAGGTGCTGAAGGTTTTGGTCAATGTATGTAGCAACAACAATAATAGTTAATTATTTAAAAAGTTTATTAATATATTTTATTTAAAAATACTATAGTATTAGATTTAGCTGCTCAATTAGCTTTTATTTTATTATTAATTTTAATTTCTAAAGGTTGGGCTATTTCAAGAGTTACCATTGACGAAAAGAGAATTGTTTTCGCTGTTATTGGTGTCCTTTCATTCTTATATTTATTCATGTTTATTTGGTACAAAGCTGGTGAAGGTATTGCATCAACTACCTACATGTATGATACCGCTCCAGGTATTGTTCTTTTAGTTGCACGTGGTTTAGCTATGATTTGGTTCATGTGGTGTGGTTATAGCACCTACATGGAAGAAACTCACCCAGCCAAACGTAACTTTTACACTCTCTTTGGTATTTCATTCGTTATTTGGTTCTTAATTCTTCCAATGATCTCTGTTATTGCTGCCGCTGTCGAACCATGGGTACGTGAAAGAATTGTTACTTCATTCTATGTCACTGCCAATGCCATTGGTTTCGTTGCTGTTACTTACCTTTTATCCCCATCAAGATCTGGTGATTTAATTGCTCCAGCAACCAAAACCTCAGCAGAAGAATACACTTCAATTCCATCAGGTGGTGATTCATCATACACTTTTTAAAATTAATTAATGATAACAAATTGTTAACAACTTTATTGTAAAAAAAAAAAAAAAAGTTGCATCAGTACATAAACACAAAAAATAGAAATAAATTAAAAATTAATTTAAATAAAATTAATTATAATAATTAATATATAAAATAATAACAATAAAAATAAAAGCAAGTATATATTTATTTTATAAAAAAAACTTTTATTTGTCCCAAATTTTATTTATTGGTGCTTTAATATTTTCTGTCTCTTTTAAATTTAAAACGTAGTTTCTTTCTTTATCTCTTATCTAGATAAATATAAAGGGATTAGGATGGATGAATTTATAATGTTTAAGTTTTTTTTATAGGTAACTTACCAATTTAACAAAAAAATTATCACCCTTTGAGGTTATTGGGTTGGTATAAATTGTAAACATTCCATATAAATTGCCAAAAAGAATATCAGTTAAATATCTATCACCAACCATAACTAAATTGGATGGGTCGGTTTTAAAATGATTGGTTACACTGTCAATACCATCTGGTTTTTTAGTGTTATGTTTTAAAACTTTAATACCTAAATTCTTTTCAATATGATCTGCTTTTTCATAGTCTGGGTAATCATCACTCGAACCTGCACTATTTGAAATAATCGCTATATTTTCTTCACCAAAAATCTCTTTACATTTTTCGATCGACTCTTTAAATGGGTTATATATGGTATCTGCATATGGTTCTGTTAGTGTGTTGTCCTTGTCAAATAAGACACCCTTGAAACCTTTATCATGAAGTTGTTTAAAATCTATGCCTCTAATATCTTTAAACTCTAAATGTGGCACAATTAATGATTTGTTTCTATAAACATGTTTTAAACATTTTATTGCTTCGAAATTGAAACTTTGTACCATTTTATTATTTTTTTTTTTAAAAAAAAAAGATAGTTTTTTAAAAAAAAGTTTTAAAAAATATAAAATTTATAAAAATGAAAAATTTGAAATAAAAAAAAAAATTGTTATTTTAAATAGATTACCGAATAATCTTTTTTATTTATATAAACAAATAAATTGTAAATATTACCTTTTTTTAAAATATATGATATATGTAATTTAAAAAAAAAAAAAAGATTTTTTAAATTATGCTAAAGAATTTCAATGTTGAAAATATTATTGTACCCATCAAGATTAAATAGAAAATTGTATGAGATGAGCCAGTTTCACAAAATGGATTAAAATTCTTTGGTGGCTTATGAAGTGATTTTAACATTGATTCTCTAACTCTTCCTGAAAGTGATTCGACGGTATCATCCTTTTCAAGTTGAATTGTTGGTAGGAATCTTATACTAAAATATTAAAGTTTATGTTAATAAAAATAAAAATAAAATGTATCTATTGTTTATTGATAAAAAAAACTTACCAAACAGTACCAGAATATGGGAAAAAACATGAGGATTTCCAAAGTTGATAGTTGCCAAAAAATACAACTGGAACAATATTTGATTTGGATTTAAGCGATAAATGGAATGGACCTTTTTTAAACTCTTTTAAGTTACCATCTTTTGATCTGGTGCCTTCTGGACTTACTGCAACCTTTATAATATTGTTTATAAAAAAAAAAAAAAAAATTAATATCTTGATTACACAAGTTGTTTTTTTATGATAATATTTTATTAAATACAAACACAAATATCTTTTTTGATCATTGCTTCAGCAGCTTCGTTAATACTTTCAATTGCAGAGTGTTTTTTCTTTCTATTAATTGGAATGTGACCGACAATGTGTGCTAATAAGAAAACCATTGGGAAAATATATAATAGCTCTCTTTTGAAGATAAATTTACAAGGTATTGGTGAATAGCCTTGAAGAATCACTGGATCTAAATATGATGTATGACTATAGGCTAAAACTGATGGTTGCTCTTTGAAATCATCATAAAGTTCTAATCCCTCTGTAATAACCTTTATATTCATTATCCAAAGTAATCCTTTGCCCCACATTCTAGATAAAAATTCTAATAGAAAATATCTTCTTTTGACATTAAACTTCTTTAAAATTGGGTCTGAAATATAATTAAATGGAACTGACATCCACACTATAACTATAATAATTAATTGGAGAAGTTAATATTGTTTTCTTTTATAAAATAAGAATTAAATTAATTACTTACCAGTAGCAGTAATTGCCCAAAGAACAATCGCAATAAATCTTAAAAGTCTTAGCCCAATAAATTCGTGAGGTGGAGATTCAAATTTTATTTTCTTTTCTCCAATTATAGTTGTACTACTTTCTGTTTGTTTAATTTCATCATTTGAAATTTTGTTTTTTCTTTGTGACATTTTATTATATTATATTATAAGTTATATTATTATTATTATTGTTATTTCATAAAAATATATATATGTATCCACACTCTTAATAAATATAATATAAAAATAAAAAATAAAAAAATAAAAAATAAAAAAATAAAAAGTGTGTATATAAGATAAAAAAAAAAAAATATTATATATTATATTAAATTATATTAAATATTATATTTAGAAAAGATAAGGTGTGTAAATAGGGTATGAATTAAAAAAAAAAATTTATAAAATTAAAAAATTTTAATTTTTTTATAAAAAAATATAAAAAAAAATAAAAATTTTATTTTAATCGATATTATAAAATAAAAAAATTAAAATGGATATTATAAAATTTTTAATTATGGTTTAAGTATTTATAAAGACAAATTTTTAAAAAAAAAAAAACAAAAAAAAAAAAAACGAATAAATGAATAAATAAATGGATAAATAAAAAAAAAAAAAAAAAAAAAAAAAAATAAATTAATAAAAAAAAATAAATTAAGGAATAAAAAAAAAAAAAAAAAAAAAAAAAAAATTTATTGGGAAAAATTATAATATTTTATTTTTTTTTATTTTTTTATTTTTTTTTTCTAAAAAATTAACTATTTTATTTGAATGATTTACTTATCCAGAGGTTTCTTTTTAAGAAATCAAATGTAGTTGCCATGGTGGTGGGCAATGAAACATTTCTTTGGGTTTAAAAAAAATTTTAATTTATTTGGTCTCGTGAAGTTAGAATTGCATCCACTAATTCAAAATTAATAATCAAAATAAATTTAAAAAAATAGAATAAAAATTAATTCCCTAAACAAAAGGAAGCATAGAGTGTCCATATTCTATCATTTAAAAGATTCATTTTTAATACCAAACAAAACTTTCTTTTTATTTTAAAATTATTAACATTAAAAATTAAAAATAAAAAAAAAACAAAAATTTCTAAAAAAGAAAAGTAATATTTTTTTATAACAATTTTGAAAGCATTATTGAAAATGCCAATTAAACAACAAAAGCTACTTGAGATTCGATAAACATATGAATTCTATACACATCCAAACAATTACACTAATTATTTAAGTTTATAAAAAAGAATTTATACGATTTACAAACAAATAATTGTATATTTATTTAATTTCTAGAATTATTTATTATTTATTTAGAAAATTTTTATTTTAATTTTAATTAATTTGATTTTTTAAAATATTGATTGATCTAATTGCGCTTGGATCTTCTTTACTAGTTGAAGTACTAATTGGCTAATAATGTATTACTCCGCGTTATACTTGAAAGTGTTCAACGACCGGAGAATCTCTATTTGAAAATTTCTATTAATTTATAAGTCTAATTATAAATTTACATTCATGCAGAAATGAGACTTCATTTATGAAACTACCTCTTTCAGATACTAATTCCTTGCAGAGTATTTTTAAATATATTTGATTAAATAACACCATTGTGACTGTTCCCCTCGTTTGATTAATAGTTACACCGAAGCTTCGGTTTCTCTTCTCCTAAAACTATTTGATTTCTATGGTCATAGTTGCTTGGCCAGAGCAATTAATGATAGTAATAAAATAGTTGAGTAGATAGATGAGGTCTATTATTAGTTACTTGACTGGTTGGATGAGCTTCATTGATTACTTGGTTGGTTAGAAATTTACCACAATCTTGAGTTAAAAATACATTTGGGGGTTCCAATCACTATCAAAAAGAATAACAACTTTATAATAATACCAAGACTCTTCAGCACTTTAAAAAAGTTATGGATCCGAAAAAAATAAGAAAAAGGTGCTAACAAATGTTATAGAACAGCTACTACTTGGTACACTAATGAATCCGATTATACCACTTGAAAAAAACTAGAGGTTGATGAAACTACCCGATTAAAAAGACATTGCAACTTTGTCCTGATTTTATACTACTAAATATTAAAAAAATTAATTTGTGTTAGTAATTCATATAATTAACAAATACCCCATATCTAAATAGATTGTTTTTGTTTGTAAAATAATGTGCTTATTTACTTACTTATATTTAAAAGCTTTTAGAATTATTATTATTGACCGGTAATTGTTTGGAAAAATTGAAAGAAATTTTAAAATTTTTTTTTTTTTATAAAATCCAAATTTTTTAAAATTTAAAGGCAGTGATAATTGATACAATTTATGGATTATAGTGAATAATTATTATTATAAATTATTAAACAAAACAAAAAATATATCCCTAATTTAATATTCAATAAAATAAGATTTTTACTGTAAATGATACTACATGTACAACATGGCTAGAGACGGCTTAGAATCTTGGTATAATACTTGATTATGGCTTAAAAAAATTGCTAAAATATAATGTATTAAATTAAATGAATTAATATAAAATAGTTTATAAAAATAGTAGTGGGAAAATAAAATAACTTACCGATATAATGGTTTAATTAGCTAATGGGCATAAAGAACCGTAATGGAATTCTGCAAAATGTGATAACAAAATTCCATTCTCGCATTTAATACTTGGAGTAATTTCTATGAAAGAACTACTCTCGGATTCAACTGAAGATATTATAGAAATATTTATCTTATAAATTTCAGCTGCAGCGACCAATGTTAAATGATCGCCCCATGTGCCATTTTTGGACATACTATCACAATATTCCTCCCAACTGTTTGTAGTTACAAAGTCTGAGAGGGTTTCTCCATTTGGAAGGTAAAAACCTTTATTTTGTCTAAGCCAATAGACAATGTTATTTCTTATTATTACACTATGCTCCAAGTCACCAAATATCTGATCTGATAGCGCATGCATTTGGCAATTACCATCACCTGGGATTTCCTTTTTTGGCATAAGTTGATAAATTTCGATACGTTCATTTAAACGTATATATGCCTTTTCTGTTTCATTCAATGGAGTTGGATCTAAACTTAATCTTCCATTTGAATTGACCAAAGATAAATCAATTTCATTTGGCTTTATTGGAGCATTTTGGGGTTGTTGTGTTGGTTGTGAATGGGTGTGTTGTGGTTGGAGTTGTTGAAGAATTCGTTCAATGAAAGGGATTGGTTGTTGTGGTTGCTGTGGTTGCTGTGGTTGGGGGTTGCTGACGAATTCGTTGGATAAATGGGATTGGTTGTTGTGGGACTGGTTGTTGTGGGACTGGTTGTTGTGGGATTGGTTGTTGTGGGATTGGTTGTTGTTGAATTGGTTGTTTTGGAATTGGTTGTTGTGGTTGCTTTGGTTGTTGTGATTGCTGTGGTTGTTGATGTTGTGGTTGCTGACTAATTCGTTGGATGAATGGGATTGGTTGATGTGATTGTTGTGGTTGTTGATGTTGTGGTTGCTGACGAATTAGCTGGATGAATGGGATTGGTCTTTGTGGAATTGGTTTTTGGGATTGTTGTGGGTGTTTTGGTTGTTGGGGTTGCTGTGGTTTTTGGGGTTGGGGTTGTTGACTAATTCGCTGGATGAATGGGATTGGTTGTTGTGGTTGTTGGGGTTGTAGATGTTGGGGTCGCTGACGAATTAGCTGTATGAATGGGATTGGTCCTTGTGAATTTGGTTGTTGTGATTGCTGTGGTTGTGATTGCTGTGGTTTTTTTGGTTCTTTTGGTTGGAGTTTTTGGTGAACTTTTTGAGGTTGTTGGAGGTGTTCTTGTTCTTGGTAAATATGGAGTTGTTGGGGGATTTGGAGGCTTTGGAGGTGTTTGAGGTGTTCTTGTGGTTCTTGTAGTTGGATTTGGAGTACTTGACTTGCCCAGAAATTGTCTTCGCTGTTCCAACATTGGCAGTCATCTTTTTCTTTGTTGTTTCTTTTGGTGTTTTTGAATCTGAATTTACCAATTAAAGATGGTAATTTCCAACAGATGGTACCAACAAAAAATAAATAAACACACAAGTTTAAAAATTCATACATTTTGTTTGCAAAAAAAAATATTTACAAATAAAATGTACAAAAAAAAAAATAATATAAATATATACAAAAAAATATTTACAAAAAAAAGATATATATTATTTACAAAAAAAAAGGTGTGTAAAAATGAACGAATATTATTATTTGAATGCTATTATAAAAAAAAAAAAGCTGGTGAATGAAAAATTATGTGTGTTGTAAAGCTATAATTTTTAATTAAAAAAAAAAAAAATAATTTTTTTAAAGACTCTTTTTTAAAAAATTAAAAAATTATAAACAATTAAAAAAAAAAAAATAAAACAAAAAAACAATTGTTTATTTTCTTTAAAATTATGATAAAATAATAGTTTCTACCTTATTTTTTTATTTAAAATTTAGATTTAAAATATTAATTAAATCTATATGTTTGATTTAAAAATTTCATAAAATTCTCTCTCGATTGATATCCATATTGCCTATGTAAGCTATTACATTGTAAAAAAAGAATTTTAAAAAAATGGTAAATTAATTATTTAAATATAAATTTTAATCTTTATTAGTTTAATTCAAATTGAATAAATTACACCTCGAACCACTTTTTTATTATTTCCATTTAATTTTTTATTTTTTTGCATTTTAATGAAAAAATGTGGTTCGAGGTGTAATTTATAATAAAAGTTAAAACAATTATATTTATTTTATTTGATTATTTGATTATTTATTGTTTATTTTTTTATATTAAGTTAAATATATTTTGAAGCTGCTCCATTATTCCAATTTCCCTTTATATAATAATTTTTTTATATATTTTTTATGAAAATCATGTCCCATTTGTTTTTTAATATCTATCTATAGTTTATACAATCAGTATAGTTATTTAATAATATCTTACATTTATTAAATATTTTTTATATTACTTTTTTCAATCTTCTTTACAAAAAATAATTAACAAAAATATATTAAATTATTATTATCAATTTTTAAATTAAAAATATATCAGATAATTGGCTTTCATTATACTTATTATTACAAAAGTAATATAACAATTATTTAAAAGATATTTTTTATAATTATAATTTTTGAAATATTAAATTAATAAAATTTAAAAAATTTTATTTTATTTTATTTTTTTAAAACTTTCACCCATTTTCTTATATATATAATGTACTTCACTTATTTTATATCATTTCACAGTAATACAACAACACATTTTTTCACCATTTAATAAGAAACATTAATCAATTTAAATTAAAATTTTTTTTTTTTTTTTTTTTTTTAAATAAATTTTTTTATTTATATTACTTTATTCATTATATTAAATCTTTCAAAAGAAGTAGTCTTTAGCATCCAAAAAAATTTAGATTTTTATTTTATTAAATATTTTTATATTTAATCAATTAAAATTAAAGCTTACATAGTCTTTTGCATCCAATACAACTTTAAAATTTTTTATTCTTTTCACCAGTCACTAAATAAACTTATACACACCTATAGCTTTTATATATAATTATATATATACATACCACTCTTTTTAGAAATATTTAATAATGATTTACATACCTATAACCATTTTTTTCAAATAATAAAAAATATTTTTAGCTAAATAAATTATATAATATATAAATATGGATAATACACATAGATTAAGATTTTTGATTTACATAGAAAATAGATTAAATAGATTCATACACCACCAGTTTCTGGTGGACAACTACCATTTGCTGTTATACAACCATCAAATGAATAGACCTCTACCATCAAACTAACCACCAATTTATACAAACCTACAAGGTCAATCACCATATAATAACCCAAATACATCACAAAACCCCTCTCCTCTAATTCCTGTCAAGATGTTTACTATTATCCTATGGAATAGGAAAATTGTACTTTTAATCCACCCAAGCCAATGTCGACGTTAATCTTTTAAATAAAAGTTAAGAACTTTTACATTTGAAGAATAAAATGGAAGTCCAAATGGAAGGTAATTGCCATATGTATTTATTATCCGATCAAATCTATGGAGACATCAATTTAAGTTTAGAAACCTGATATAATAGTTGGTCGGTTAAAAAAATCCTATCTTTTATAGGATATTATTCAACTTTCAAATACAAATTGGGAAGATAATTGTTATTATAATAAAACAAAAAAATGGTGACTACATTACTTAATTTAATCCAAATAAAAACATTAACTAATTTTTTAATAAAAATTATCATATATATCCTAAATTAGATTTTATTTAAAAACATATGAAAATATTAAATGATTATATTTTAAATTATTATTGATTTTTATTGCTTATGATTGATTCAGTTTATTTCATTAAATAATATTTGAATTTAAAGTTTATTCATTTTAAATGAGAATTTTTTTAGAAAAATTCTGACTTTATATTTTCTATACATTACTCCCAAAACAACAGTTATTAATGCAACCCCACCAACAGAACAAACTGAAGCAATAACAGGTACTTTCCATTTATTTTCGCATGCATTATCTGAAGCTCTAATTAAAGAATTGAATGACGGATCTAAAACAACTCTTTGTGAAAAAGATGGTGTGTTAATTGAGGTTAATCTATAATAGTATTCGTCATCTATTGGTCCTTGATCAGAATCTATAGATGATTCATCTTTATTGCCACTAGTGTTGAGTAAAAGGTAAAGTGGATCTTCAATTGATAATACTGAAACATACGATTTTCTAACTGTGTCATCAACAAACATACGTCTGGAGAATTTAGCATCCATAACTGATCCACCAGAAGCTAGTTGGAACCAGCTTACAGATTCATTGGCACCTGATCCGCCTCCAGAGTTACTTGAAGTTTGATAAATCTTGCAACCATCATTATGATATCTTTTTGTTTTTGAATTATAAATAACTTGAAGAGTATTTAAAGGTGATTCAAATTCCCAGTTTGAAATGGTGATTACGTATTTAATTGAATTTGATGGAATTGAAACAATATCACCTGCAAAGTCGTATTGGTATGCATCTTTGTAGTAGATGGCATCCAATTCAATTGTGGCTGTATCGTTTTCAAAAATACCTTTAAAGTATGAATCGGTGGTATTGTTTTTTGTTTTATTGACCCATTTAATATTTGCCATTGAAAGAGTTTTAACTGCACCAGAAAAAATGTTTAATTCTCTTAGGTAAACTATAGAAACTGTAAAATTATGTGTACCACCGCTGATAATTGAGTTGCCATTGTCGTCTACAATTGGTGGTGGTAATGGCTTTTGTTTTGGAATTGAACAATCTAAACTTCCAAAACTATCATTACAGGAACATTCACCATTAATTGGATTACAAATACCTTGATCAGGAGAGGTACAGTTATTTGGGCACATTAATGGTTCGTAATAATAGAATACTTGATTTTTACCAAACATGTTTTTAGATATAATTGAAACTGTTAAGGAGGTTTGATTTTGGTTTGGTGGGGCATTTGCTTCGTAAAAACAATTAATATGACTGTTATCTATTGCTACTGGGTTAATACATGAAAAATTTGAAACATAAACTTCTAAACTATTTGATGAAAAGCTTTCTGCTGTGATTGTGATATTACCTGGTTTATTGTAATAAAGTGATGTTGATTTAATAACTTTAGGTTCTTGGAATGAAAATGTTAAATTGTTTGAAGTGTATGAAATGGAGTTATCTGTTTTAATCAATAATAATTTAGCAAATCCATAGCCATTGAAACCTTTGCATGAGGCTGATTCACCATTGATATAGGTGCATTCTAATATCGAATTACTATTTGGTACAGAGTCCAATTCATAGCTAAATGAAAGATCAACTTGGCTATTAGTTTGGTAGTTTTTGTTTGAGAAATAAAGGCCATTAATTGTTACAATTGAATATCCATCAAGATATGGTTTTAATGATAATGACTTAATAATTGGGGCAAAATATATTGAAAAAAAATTAGATTGTTGACCTGCAACCTTTATAATAATTTGACCATTTGAGGTTTTGCCATTGACTGTAATTATTAATGATTTACGGTCTTGTGAAATAAATGGTGTGGTTTCTGATAGGTCATTTAAAATTACCGAATTTAATGATTCTTGATCAGTGCTGAAGTGTTGAGCTTGGATTGAAAACTGATTTTCATTAATTTGAGTAAATCCTGTAATAGAAGGTGGTGAAAATGAATATTGAACTTGATTTGAGATTCTACTATTTGATTGTGCAACAAAATAATGGTTTTTACCAAATCCACCAATGCTTTTAGCGATAATTGTTGTTCCATCGATTTGAGAAATGGATAGTTGATCGATACCATCTGATAAAAGTTTAAAGTTGTTGTCTACAGTTTCGAAAAATCTACCGGAAATAGTAATAGTTTCACCACCAGCAGTATCTAATATTGGGGTGCTAAGTGAGATAATATAAGGATTGAAATAAAATGTAAAACTATTTGACTTGGTAAGTTTATTGGAGATTTCTATTTTACCACTAAGAATATAAAGAGGGATAGTGCTGCAGACAATCTCGGTATCACTATTAATATTACAGTTTGGTGTAAGTTCTTGGGAAGATATAAATATAGTGGTGCTGCTGATATCGTATGAAAAACCAGTACCAATAATAGTAATGGTATCATTAATTTGATTTACATCTGTAACTAGGATAGGCTCCATATATGGAACGCTGATAGTTTCGGTTAATTTATTGCTGATCTTGAGTTTTACCATTAACGTTCCACTACCTGGTGGCGAGTTACAAATTAAAGTTGTGGGACTTATTGTGGGACATTGTGTGCTTGTATAGATATTGCTATTATAATATAATATCCAAGCTAGGGGTGTTCCTTGGTAATTAGTATCTGATAAGAAGGAACCTTGAATTGTAATTTGACCACCCTTGGTTGGAGGTGAACTGACTGAAGTAATGTGAGATGGGATTGATAAAACACCAGTTGTGGAAATTTGATTATTAACCTCTAGGTCGATAAATTGGCAAACTCTATTATTAAATAATGCTGAATCGAAGTAAACTGAAATTTTTGTATGTGGTTCCACCAATTGGATCTCCTCGGCAACTATACTGCATAAAGATACTTTCAAAAGATTCTGGTATGCTCCAAAATTTTCACCCACAATAGTAATGTAGTTATTGCTTTCATCATAAACTAACGAGGAAATCGATGGGTTCATGTACATAATATTAATAAAAGTTGTTGCATTTACTGCAGATCTAGCATAAATAGGATTGTCCACTCTACCTAGAGTATTGCCGGTGCCATCTGGAATTTGAACAGCAATACTGGTACTATTCGCGACTGTATAACTTGAAACTGGCATTTCTTCTCTTCTATAGAATAGTTTAAAACTATTGCTTTTGGCTTTTTAAAATTTTTGTTATTAATAAAATAAATAAAATTTATAATATTTTCATTTTTAGTTTATATTTACAATCAAATCTATTCAAGTCAAAAAATCTTCCATATAGAATAGCATTACCTCCAGTTGTTGGAATTCTATTGTATGATGAAGAATAGTATGAATTTATATAAGGCTAAAAAAAATTTGTTAGTATAATAATTTATTAAAAATAAAAATATTATAAACTTACTATAAAATCATAACTTTTGATTATTTCAAAACCATTTAAAATAGTTTTAATATTTCCAGATTTAATGGCATTATCTACAGGTAAATCTTTACACTGAATACCTTTTAAAGTTGGAATACCTATAGGGTTATCAACATAGATACAATATGATGTTATTTCATAGTCATTTACAAATATTTGAAAAATTGTATTTGAATCTATATTGTATACATAAAGAATTAGACTGTTGCTAAAATTATTTATTTGATTTATTACTGGATTTTGAGAATTTACTATAAAAAAAAATGATAGAGTAAGTATAAGATTATTTGAGGATGATAATTTAATTTTAGAAGGAAAAAAAAATTTTTAAACAAACCTATATTTCTGTTATTTAACAAAAAAAATAATAAAAATACAGCAAGAAAAAATGATATGAATTTCATTTATTATTTATAATAATTACTAAAATTGATACTAAGCTTTTATTATTATAATTATTATTATTATTAATATTTATCCGAAAAGTATCGCGTAATGAAGTCAACCAAAAAAAAAAATGAAAAAAAAAAAAAAAAAAAAAATTTTGAAATTTTTTAAGAATTATCAAATTTTTGTTTTGATATATTGATATTTTAATTTTTTTTTTAAATTAAAATTTTTTTTTTTAAAAAAGTTAATTTTTATTATTTTTTTTATTTTTATATTTTAATAATACCATAACAATAAAAATCCAAATTTTTAAAAATCAAATTCCAAAATTTCATTTTTTCTCATGTATTATAATTTATTTTTGTAAATATATTATTTTATATTTTTATTTAATGATTTATATATAGTTTTGTAGAGAATTATTTTTTGTGTTTATTTAATTATTAGAATAAAAAAAAAAAAAATTCTTATTTTTTGGTCATTTTTTATTTTTATATTTGTGTAAATATTCTATTTGAGATAATTATATTATATATATATTATATAATTTTGTAGATAATAATAATTTTAATTTATTTATAATAAAATTAAATTTAAACAAAATTATTATATTAATTTTTTTAATTAGAATGAAAAAAAAAAAATAAAAAAAAAAATAAAAAAAAAAAAAAAAAAAAAAAATTTTTTTTAAAAACTCTTCATTTATTATTTTTTTAATATCATTCCATTATTTAATTATATTATAAACTCTTCATTTATTATTTTTTTTAAACTCAAGAGGTTTATTTAAAATTAAAATGGTCAATTTTTTAAAATAAAAAAAAATTGAAAAAAAACATAAATATACATCAAAATAGTGTATATGTAAAAATGGTTGTAAGTCTAACAAATTTTATTTTTATTTAATTTTTAAAATATTTTTTTAGAGAATATTATTTTTTTTATTATTTTTTTATTTCCTTTTTTTTTAATTATTATAATTATCAACAAATTTATAAAATGAATACTTTCAATAAAAGAAAAGCAATCAATGAATTAAATCAAAGTCGGGGAAAAATTGTAACTGAAGAACTCTTTTTGGTTGATAGTGATACGTATGCAAGACCTAAAAATAAATATTATGGAATATCATTAGAAGAGGTAATTAGTTTGTTTTTCAATAAAAAATTTGGAAATAGTTTTTTGGAGCTAACAAATCTCAATTTAAGTAAAATCAACTCAGAAAAAGAAGAGATTTATTAAAGAGAATTTGAAGGAGGTTCCAAAAAGTATAAATTTAAGCTTATTTCAAGGATTACCAAAGAAGAGCTTCTTGAATATGAATAATTCAAAGTTGGCAGGACTATTTTTTTTTTTTTAAAAAATCAAACTAACCCATTTTCGAACCCCTACTGTTACCTTAATGTTAGATTTGGGTGTTTTTAAAACAATTATGGAAATTACAAACCATAGTAATACAAAAATGAAAAAAAACAGATTTTTTTTGGTTCAATCAACAACCAAATTTACAGATGATCAAATTAAAAGAATTGCAGGTGAAATGAGTGATATCAGTTATGATTTGGTAGAAGGAATTAAAGTTTGCACCCTTGACAAAATTATATATAAATATATCCTAAATTCAGATTCAAAAGAGAAATATATTCAATAAGATAATAAATCTCCAATTATGTGTATACCTCGTAAACCTCATGCAAATGGTCTTTTAAGTTATATGGTTGGAACCTTTTTAGAACGTATTCATCATTTTCATCCCCTAAAAAAAGCCCAGAATCATCACCAAAAAGAGGGTCTTTTAATTAATTTGAATTCAAATATCCATATATTATAGAGTTTTTAAACAAGTTAGATAATGAAATAAATCCCTCAAGTAGTGTTGATCACGTATTAGGAAAGTATAAAGATTTTAAATTTCATTTAGTTGGAGATAGTGCATTTTTTCCCAAAGATAATTTAAATCATATTGTAAATAAAGGTTGGTTGGCAACAATTTCAGATTCCTCAAGTAGTAACATTAACACATTACTCAAAGATACATTAAAAGATGATAAAAGTTGGATTGCAATTGAATAGACCTCTACTATCAAACTAACCACCAATTTATACAAACCTACTACGTTAAACTTTTAATAAAAGTTAAGAACTTTTCCATTTGAAGAATAAAAAGGAAGTCCAAAAATATGGTAATTGCCATATGTATTTATTATCCGATCAAATCTATGGAAACATCAATTTAAGTTTAGAAACCTGATATATAATAGTTCGTTGGTTAAAAAAATCCTATCTTTTATGCGATATTAGTCAACTTTCAAATACTAATTGGGAAGGTTATTATTAAAATATGACGAAAAATGGTTACTGCAGTGGCCACATTACTTTATATAATCCAAATAAAAACATTAACTAATTTTTTAATAAAAATTATCATATATATCCTAAATTAGATTTTATTTAAAAACTATGAAAAAAAATATTAAATGATTATATTTTAAATTATTTTTTGATTTTTATTGCTTGTGATTGATTCAGTTTATTTCATTAAATAATATTTGAATTTAAAGTTTATTCATTTTAAATGAGAATTTTTTTAGAAAAATTCTGACTTTATATTTTCTATACATTACTCCCAAAACAACAGTTATTAATGCAACCCCACCAACAGAACAAACTGAAGCAATAACAGGTACTTTCCATTTATTTTCGCATGCATTATCTGAAGCTCTAATTAAAGAATTGAATGACGGATCTAAAACAACTCTTTGTGAAAAAGATGGTGTGTTAATTGAGGTTAATCTATAATAGTATTCGTCATCTATTGGTCCTTGATCAGCATCTATAGATGATTCATCTTTATTGCCACTAGTGTTGAGTAAAAGGTAAAGTGGATCTTCAATTGATAATACTGAAACATACGATTTTCTAACTGTGTCATCAACAAACATACGTCTGGAGAATTTGGCATCCATAACTGATCCACCAGAAGCTAATTGGAACCAGCTTACAGATTCATTGGCACCTGATCCGCCTCCAGAGTTACTTGAAGTTTGATAAATCTTGCAACCATCATTATGATATCTCTTTGTTTTTGAATTATAAATAACTTGAAGAGTATTTAAAGGTGATTCAAATTCCCAGTTTGAAATAGTAATTACGTATTTAATTGAATTTGATGGAATTGAAACAATATCACCTGCAAAGTCGTATTGGTATGCATCTTTGTAGTAGACGGCATCCAATTCAATTGTGGCTGTATCGTTTTCAAAAATACCTTTAAAGTATGAATCGGTGGTATTGTTTTTTGTTTTATTGACCCATTTAATATTTGCCATTGAAAGAGTTTTGACTGCACCAGAAAAAATGTTTAATTCTCTTAGGTAAACTATAGAAACTGTAAAATTATGTGTACCACCGCTGATAATTGAGTTACCATTGTCGTCTACAATTGGTGGTGGTAATGGCTTTTGTTTTGGAATTGAACAATCTAAACTTCCAAAACTATCATTACAGGAACATTCACCATTAATTGGATTACAAATACCTTGATCAGGAGAGGTACAGTTATTTGGGCACATTAATGGTTCGTAATAATAGAATACTTGATTTTTACCAAACATGTTTTTAGATATAATTGAAACTGTTAAGGAGGTTTGATTTTGGTTTGGTGGGGCATTTGCTTCGTAAAAACAATTAATATGACTGTTATCTATTGCTACTGGGTTAATACATGAAAAATTTGAAACATAAACTTCTAAACTATTTGATGAAAAGCTTTCTGCTGTGATTGTGATATTACCTGGTTTATTGTAATAAAGTGATGTTGATTTAATAACTTTAGGTTCTTGGAATGAGAATGTTAAATTGTTTGAAGTGTATGAAATAGAGCTATCTGTTTTAATCAATAATAATTTAGCAAACCCATAGCCATTGAAACCTTTGCATGAGGCTGATTCACCATTGATATAGGTGCATTCTAATATTGAATTGCTATTTGGTACAGAGTCTAATTCATAGCTAAATGAAAGATCAACTTGGCTGTTAGTTTGATAGTTTTTGTTTGAGAAATAAAGACCATTAATTGTTACAATTGAAGATCCATCAAGATATGGTTTTAATGATAATGACTTAATAATTGGGGCAAAGTATATTGAAAAAATATTAGATTGTTGACCTTCAACCTTTATAATAATTTGACCATTTGAAGTTTTGCCATTAACTGTAATTATTAATGATTTACGGTCTTGTGAAATAAAAGGTGTGGTTTCTGATAGGTCATTTATAATTACCGAGTTTAATGATTCTTGATCAGTGCTGAAGTGTTGAGCTTGGATTGAAAACTGATTTTCATTAATTTGAGTAAATCCTGTAATAGAAGGTGGTGAAAATGAATATTGAACTTGATTTGAGATTCTACTATTTGATTGTGCAACAAAATAATGGTTTTTACCAAATCCACCAATGCTTTTAGCGATAATTGTTGTTCCATCGATTTGAGAAATGGATAGTTGATCGATACCATCTGATAAAAGTTTAAAGTTGTTATTTGAATTGGTGATTGGGTCTACAGTTTCGAAAAATCTACCGGAAATAGTAATAGTTTCACCACCAGCAGTATCTAATATTGGGGTGCTAAGTGAGATAATATAAGGTTTGAAATAAAATGTAAAACTGTTTGACTTGGTAAGCATATTGGAGATTTCTATTTTACCACTAAGAATATAAAGAGGGATAGTGCTGCAGACAATCTCGGTATCACTATTAATATTACAGTTTGGTGTAAGTTCTTGGGCAGAGATAAATATAGTAGTGCTGCTGATATCGTATGAAAAACCAGTACCAATAATAGTAATGGTATCTTTAATTTGATTTACATCTGTAACTTGGATAAGTTCCATATATGGAACGCTGATAGTTTCGGTTAGTTTATTGCTGATCTCGAGTTTTACCATTAACGTTCCACTACCTGGTGGCGAGTTACAAATTAAAGTTGTGGGACTTATTGTGGGACATTGTGTGCTTGTATAGAAATTGCTGTTATAATATAATTTCCAAGGAAGGGGTGTCCCATAGTAATTAGTATCTGATAAGAAGGAACCTTGAATTGTAATTTGACCACCCTTGGCTGGAGGTAAACTAACTGAAGTAATGTGAGATGGGATTGATAAAACACCAGATGAGGAATTTTGATTATTAACCTCTATTTGAATAAATGGGCAGACTATATTTTCAAATAACGCTGAATCGTAGTAAACTGAAATTTTTGTATGTGGTGCGAGCAATTGGATCTCCTGGGCAACTTTATCGCATACATATACTTTCAAAAGATTCTGGTATGCTCCAAAATTTTCACCCACAATAGTTAAGTATTTATTGCTTTCATCATAAACTATCGAGGAAATCGTTGGGTTCATGTATCCAATATTAATAAAAGTTGTTGCATTTACTGCAGATCTAACATACATAGGATTGTCCACTCTACCTGGAGTATAACCGGTGCCATCTGGAATTTGAACAGCAATACTGGTACTATTCGTGACTGTATAGCTTGAAACTAGCATTTCTTCTCTTCTATAGAATAGTTGAAAATTATTGCTTGTGGCTTTTAAAATTTTAATATAAAAATTTTTGTTAATAAAAATTATAATAAATAAAAATTATTAAATTATATTTACAATCAAATCTATTCAAGTCAAAATATCTTCCATATAAAATAACATTACCCCCAGTTGTAGGAAGTTTATTGTTTGATGTTACAAGGTTTGGTGTTATAACGTATGAACTTATTACAGGCTAAAAAAAATTTGTTAGTATAATAACTTCTATATTAAAAAATAAAAATATTTTAAACTTACCATAAAGTTAAAACTTTTGATAATTTCAAAACCATTAAAAATAGTTTTAATATTTCCAGATTTAATGGCATTATTTACAGGTAAATCTTTACACTGAAAACCTTTTATAGTTGGAACACCTATAGGGTTATCAACATAGATACAATATGATGTTATTTCAAAATCATTTACAAATATTTGAAAAATTGTATTTGCATCAATATAGTATACATAAAGAACTAGAGTGTTGCTAAAATTAATTATTTGATTTATAAATGGATTTTGAGAATTTACTATAAAAAAAAATGATAGAGTAAGTATAAGATTATTTAATGAAGATAATTTAATTTTAGAAGGAAAAAAAAATATTTTATTGAACACACCTATATTTCTGTTATTTAACAAAAAAAATAATAAAAATACAACAAAAAAAAATGATTTGAATTTCATTTATTATTTATAATAATTACTAAACTTGATACTAAATTTTTATTATTATAATTAATAAAATTTATCCGTATCGCAAAATATTGAGTCTACCAAAAAAAAAAAAATCAAAAAAAAATTAAAAATAAATTTTTTGAAATTTTTTTGGAATGGTTTTGATATTTTTTTGTAAAAAATATATTTTTTTAATTATTTTTAAAAAAGTTAATTTTTTTTATTTTTTTTATTTTTTTTATTTTAATAAAACAGTAATGGATAAATTAAAATGACATTTTTTTCAATCAAAAATAGAAATAATTTTAAAATTTCATAAAGATGGTTTTATCCTTTCAAAAAAAAAAAAAGAAATAATTGGTTGCAGGTTACAAAGAAAAAGTAAATAGTCATCAACATCAAAGTGTTGGAAAGATTAAAAATTAAATAAATATCAAGCATAACAATTGTTAAAGGTATTTAAAAATCAAAGCTAATTCAAGAAGACAAGTAATGGTTCGAAATGTGGTCCAAAAAATAGGTCAAATAGTGAATCAAAAGTAGTGCGAATAGTACAACTTGTGGCAATACAGATGGTAGAGTAAATTTTAAAGTAGCAGATAATAAAACTTTAGATGAAGGTTCAGTGATTCTTATCCTCAAAACATCAATAATTAATTTAATGAAAAAAAAAAAATAAAAAAAAAAAATAAATTCCAATAGTTTTTAATATTGATACTATTATTATTATTGTTATTATTATTATCAAATCATATTATTTTTACTAGTGTTATTTGGTTCGGTTTGAAGTGCTATTATAAAAGAAGGAATAAAAGAAAAAAAAGGTTAGTTAAAAAAAGTATTCAAGATTTATGATTGTTATTCTTTTTTTAGATCAAAGATTTTTTTGTTTTAAAAATAGACTAGTTTTTCTTTTCATTTGTTTATCGAAAAATAAATCAGAGAAAATTTTTTTATTAATTGTAAAAATAATTTAAAAAATAATTTTAAAAAAATTAAAAAATTAAAAACTTTTTTTAAATTATTTTTTTAAAATTATTTTAATCTTTTTTTTTAAAATAATATAAAAATAACACACATATAAAACTAATCATCATAAATAATTATCTTTATTTAAAACAATTATTTCTATATTTGTTAGAAAAAAAAAAAAAAAAAAAGAAATAATCTTTGATGTGTATTGTAATACATACACTCACTCACTCTCACACACACACAAAAAATTAAATAATTTTTTTTTTTTAATTTTTAATTTTTTTTTTATTTAAATTTAACATTAAAAAAAGATTATTATAATATTAGAGTTAACTTTATATAAATTATATAGATAAATAAAAAAAACAATAACAAAAACAACAACAACATTATTTCATTTTTTTTTTCATATTTTTTTTTTTTGTAATATAATTTATTTCATTCATAATAATAATAGTATATAATAATCACAATAATAAATTTATTAAATATTAAATATAATAATAAAAAAATACAAATTTAATTAAACAGCTACAGAGTAATTAATTTTAAACTTTTTTTTTTTCTATTTTTTTTTGTACATACATATTTATATACATATATATATATCAGACTCTCACCTATATATCATCCATACACTTTAAACCAAACATATTGAAAAGTTTTTAATATAAATAATTATTTTAGTCTAAATTTAATAAATAAAAAGTTATATATGTATTATAAAATAATAATAATAATATCAAATCTATAATAAAAATAAAAATAAAAATAATAATTGTATATATAATAGTAAAATAAAATGTTATCAATGACTGATAGCAGAAAAAGAGTAACAGTATTTCAAAATGGTAAAAGAATTGGAGGTAAGGCAATTAGTATTCCCAAAAAATGGCCAGAGTTTTTAAAGATTATATCAAAGAAATTAAATATACCAGTATCAAGAATCTTTAATGAAGATGGTGGTGAAATAGATGAAATTGAAGCAATAGTACCAAAAGAGATATTATACGCAAGTTGTGGGGAGAATTTTATATTTATTAAGGATGTACAGACAGGAGTAACCACGATTGGGGGAAATACATCACTTGTAAATAGTAATGGAACACCTAGTTATTACCCAGCAGCATTACCATATAATAGCCCAATAGGGTTTACACCGTTATTAAATAGTGGTACCAACAGCGATGGATGTACAAATACAAGCACAACTACAACAATGATAACAAATATAAATAGCTTAAATAATGGAATGATATTAAACAATAGTGAATGGGTCAGTTTAAATGTTGGTGGAAGAATTTTTTCAACAACTCGTACAACTATCCTCCGAGATAAAGAGAGTATGTTAGCAAAGATGTTTAGTGAAAGTTGGGACTCTGCAAAGGATATAAATGGTGCATATCTTATCGATAGATCTCCAGATTATTTTGCTCCACTTTTAAATTTTCTACGTTGTGGCACGATTACAATTGACGATGGTATAAATATAGAGGGTGTTTATCAAGAGGCAAGATTCTTTAATATAACTGGTATGGTGGATAAGTTGGCATCAATGGTAGAGAGAAAGAGCAGATCCGATGTTTTCACTCGTAAAGATGTCATATCGATTCTTTTGACATCCTCCTCAAATTCTAGTCTCAGATGTCAAGGTTTAAATTTGGCTGGTGTAGATTTATCGAAATTAGATTTAAGAAACATAAACTTTAAAATGACAAACTTTAAAGAAACCAATCTTTCAAAGTGCAATTTAGACAATGCATTACTTCAAGAAGCAGATTTAAGTGGTGCTGACCTAAGTGGAGCCTCTCTCAGAGGTACCAATTTAACAGGTGCAAATTTAGAATCATGTAATCTCAAAGGTGCAAATTTTGAAGATAGAGGTGGTCAAAGAGCCACCCTCGAAAATGTAAATTTTAAAAATGCTACTCTCGAAGAGGCAAACTTTAGTGGTGCTAACCTCAGGGTTTGTAATTTTAAAAATGCAAATCTCGAAAATTGTAATTTCCGTGGTGCTGATTTAGCTGGTGCAAATTTGGAAGATTGTAATTTAAGAGGTGCAAATCTACATAAAGCAAATTTAATTGGTGTAAATTTAAGAGGTGCTAATTTTGATATAAGAACCGTTAGCTCAAGATAAAAAAAAAGAAAAAAATCAATTTAAATCAAATCAATTTAAAATAACAACCATCTATATAATTATAATAATATTTTTTAAATTTAAAAAAATATTAATATATTAATAAAATCTCGCCTCACTGTATATATATCTATTTATAAAATTTAAATATTCCAAAAATAATATTTTTAATTTTTCTTTTTAAATTTCTTTTTTTTAATTTATTTAATAAAATTATGATATCACTTATAAATTTATGGGGATATTATATAGATATTTATGATATTTGAAATTTACTCTGAAGACTCCTCAATCACAGATTTTTTATTTATTTTTTTTTAATTTTTTTTAATTTTTTTTTAAAATTTAGATTGAAAAATCCCCATACACTTTTTTTTTTTATTATTTTATTTTTCTTTACATTTAATAAATCAAATATTATTTACTAATAAAATGAAGTTAATTTTATTTTTAATTTTATTAGTAAATATAGTGTTTGCTCAACAAACTGAAGTTATTAGTATCTTAAATGGCCCAATTATAGGTAATGTTTACGATACACATAAAGCCTGGTTAGGTGTTCCATTTGGTCAACCACCAGTCAATAGTATGCGTTGGAAGAGTCCAGTTGCTGTATCTTCTTGGTCAACACCCTATAATGCTACATATGAAAGAAATGCATGTTTTCAAGTATGTATTATTTATTCCTAAAATAATAAAAAAATAAAAAAATATATTAATAAAAAAAATAAAAAAAAAGTTTTGTAATTTACCAGCTGGTGTATGTCCAGATCAAAATGCAGTTGCAGAAGATTGTTTATATTTAAATGTTTTTACACCAAATGTAGATTTTAATAACTTACAATCACCATTACCAGTAATGGTTTTTATTCCAGGTGGACGTTTTGAAATGGGTTCTGCATTTGCCCCATTATATGAAGGTGGTAATATTGTTAATTCATCAGGTGTAGTTTTGGTTATCATTAACTATCGTTTGGGTGCATTTGGTTTCCTTCAAACCAGTAGCGGTATTTCAGCAAATGTTGGTTTTGAAGATCAAATTTTAGCTTTACAATGGGTACAAGAAAATATTAAATCTTTTGGTGGCGATCCAACCCAAGTTACGGTATTTGGTGAAAGTGCTGGTGGTACAAGTAGCAGTCTTCATTTAACATCACCTGCATCTACTGGTTTATTTTCAAAAATCATCATCGAGTCAAATCCATGGTCATTACCAATCAAAACAATTGATCAAGCTGTTATTTTAGGTAAAATTTTTGCCAATGATTTAGGTTGTGATGAATCTGACATCAATTGTTTATACTCCAAATCTGCCGAAGATATTTTACTTGCACAAAATAAGAGCCAAAACCATTTTTCAGTTTTCCAACCATTACTTACATTCTTACCATGGACCCCAGTTGTTGGTAAATATTAAATTAAACCAATCACTATACTATTTAAACAGATTTATTAACAAATATTAACTAAATATAGATGGTAAACTAATTACAGATCAACCATTATCATTAATCCAAAAGGGTCAATATAATAAGGTACCTGTTCTCCTTGGTACTGTACGTAATGAAGCTTTACTTTTCGTTGCTTCCATTACTTTAAATATTAATAAAATAGAATATATTGGAGGTTTAATCGATATCTTTGGTCTTAAACGTGAAGGTGAAATCTATAGCTTATACTCGAAATTTATAAATGGTTCAAACTTTATGGACACCCTTGGAGTTGTTGGTACTGATTATATTTTTGTTTGTCCAACTAGAAATGCAGCTATGTATTTATCATCAGATACCTCAAATCCTGTTTATACCTATCAATTACAACATGTTACAAGCTTTAATCCTTATGGGTAAGCTATATTACAATTTCTTATACAATTAAAAATATATTAATTTAAAACTTTTTATTTATTTATTATATAGAAATGAATACCCATTCTGTGCTGGTGCTGTTTGCCATGGTCTTGAATTACCATACCTTTTCAACAATACACAATGGTTCCACTTTACACCAGAAGAACAAGTTTTATCTACTCAATTAATGAACTATTGGACCAATTTTGCCAGAAGCGGCAATCCAAACTCTCCAAATCCAGTAAATGTTCAATGGACACCATATACCAAAGCTAATGATGATATGATGACTCTTGACACTCCAAATTATATGCAATCTGGTTATCTCAATGAATACTGTTCATATTGGGATCAGTTGGGTTATGAGGTTGGTTGGTAAAATCAATTCTAAAAATATATATAATAAATAAATAATTTTTTTTTTTAAAAAAAAGGCAAAAATAAATAAAAAAATTTAATGCACAAAAGTAAATAAATAAATTTTTTTTTTTTTTATAACTAAAATCTTTTTTATTGGTATTAGATTTTAAAACTATTATACATTTTACTTTTACATCTACTATAACCCATGGCTATAGTTTCAAGGTGACTTGTTTTTTTTTTGAGCTTATTCGCAAAAATCTAACTCGATGCAAACCATTAAATCGTCTTTTTGGCCATCAATAATTTTATCTATAATTTTAAAACCAGCTTTTTTTACCATTGGTATACATAAATTTTGTAATGATGTTGGATAATGGTAACAGCTATCTCGTATATAATCGAGTGTTTGATATCTATTATTTCCTTGGCTTAAATATATGTTGCTGTGTGTAGATAAAATAGTACAAATTTGACACTCTCTATAATTATTATTAATTATTAATATTAATAACATAGGATTGGTATTAGTATTATTTATAAATTATAAATCAAATTTTAAAGTGATGCTTACGATTGGCAATTAATATTGCCTATTGTAATAAATAAAATAAAAAATAGAGTTATTATATTTTTTAAATTCATTATTATTATTGTTTTATTTATATATGGAATGATCAAAAAAAAAAAAAAAAAAAAAATTCCATTGGCTAGAAAAAAAAAAAATTTTAAAAAAAAAAAATTTTTGATTAAAGATATTTTTATGACTGAAATTTTTTAGGATTATATGACGCCAACTGTCAAAAATTATTCTGTGTATGCTAAGATTTGCCATTTTTATAATAATAATCTTTGCATTATTTTTTTTGTTTTGTCTTTTTTTATAAATTAAAAAAAAAAAAAAAAATGAAAAAATAGTTTGTTTTTCGTAAATTTATATATATGTATAAATATTATCTTTTTATTTTTTTTTTAAAAAAGTATTTGTATATTGCTTTATTTTTTTTTTTTTTTTTATTATTTATTTATTTTATTATTTAAATAATTTATAAATTAAAGTGGTTTTTTAATTTTGGATCGATTGTAAAATTTGAAATTGATCTTTTAATATTATTTTTAGTGTTTTCGGATGTATTTTCGTTATTTAAAAGTTTTTCTAAGTTTTTGACGACTTGATTATAAACATTTTCGTTGTTGATTATTTCATTTGAGTATTTGTGGGATTCGACATTATGGTTTGCAATGATTTCAAAAGTGACATATTCGCTCTTTGTGATGACATCAAATTGATCGAATTTATCAGTTTTTTCAACTAAAACTTTATAGATTTCTTCTTTGTTTTCTTCGAGATAGGCACTACGAATAATATATTTACCAAGATCTGAAGTGATACCTAACTTTAAGTTGACTGGATAGATTTTAAGTAAATCGATGACTTTTAATGAAGCACCTTCAGCATCTACTCTCTTTCCTAAAGAGTTGAGAAAACTGTCTGGAACTGTTAAATTATTACGAAGTTGATAGGTTGATAAGAGTGAAGCGGCTAACTCGACTTCACCTTCGTGTTTGCTTAAGAGTTGAGATACACATTTAACAAATACATTCATTTGTGGGAAAATTTGGAATTTATCACTATGAATTAACATCTCTGAGAATAATGGAATTTGATTGTTTTTGAGGAATGATTCGAAAATGTAAGTCTTTTGTGATGGTTTAAAGAATTCACTTGATTTGTTTCCAACTCTTTTGTAGAATGCTAAACTTTGAAAAAGTTCTTCTGATGTTTTTGATTTTCTAAATAAAGCTGCAACTAAATGATTTGAAATTGCACCATACTTTTGATATTTTTCTTTAACATTATTTAAAACTTGTGGATAATCTAAATCCTCAACTGAAACTGATGATTGTTCTGAAAAAAACTTTTCTTTTTCTTCTTTTAATAATCTTTGTTCTTTATCTCTTTTATTTTTAATTTTATCAAATTTCTTTTGTGATAAAACACTATAATTACATTTACTTAAAAATAATGAATTACTATTTAATTTTAAAATATTGGTTGATTTAATTAAACTATTCATTTTTTATTGATTATTATTAAAAAAAAAAAAAAACGAATAACAATGAATCTTTAAATAAAAAAATAAAATAAAAAAAAATGATTGTTTTTTTCGAAAAAAAAAAAAAAAAAATTTTTATTTTTTTAAATTTTGGTTTTTTTTTTTTTTTATTTTTTTTTTTATTTTTTCATATTAAAATTTTATTTTTTATTTATTGAAATTCATATTTTTTTCTCTCTTTTTTATTATTTTAAAATTATTTATATATCATTATATATTTAGAGAATAAAATATGGCAAATTCAAAGTACGAATATGTAAAGTCATTCGAACAACCTGACCATTTACTAAAAAATGTTTATATAGTTGTTCGTATTGACGGCAGAGGATTCCACAAATTTACAACAAAACACGACTACAACAAACCAAATGATGATAGGGGCTTAGCATTAATGAATAGAGCTGCATTAGAAGTTTGTAAAGAATTTCCAGATATTATAATAGCATTTGGTGAAAGTGATGAATATAGGTAAGTGTTATTAATAAAAAATATTTTTATTAAAAAAATTAAAAATAGATTTATTAATAAATATTTTTTTTTTTTAAATTTAATATAGTTTTGTTTTTAAAAAAAATTGTAATTTATTCGAAAGAAGGTCAAGTAAAATATCTTCTTCAATTGTATCTTATTTTACTAGCCAATTTGTATATAGATGGAAAGAATATTTTGGTGATCACGAATTAAAATATCCACCCACTTTTGATTCAAGATGTGTTTTATATCCAACTGATGAAAATATAAAGTAATTATTATTTATTAATATATGTTTTATAAATATTTTAAATTGGATTTATGTACATATTAAATAAATTTATATTAAAATTACGATATTTTTTTTTTTTTTAGGGATTATTTAAGTTGGAGACAAGCAGATACACATATTAATAATTTATACAATACATGCTACTGGGCATTGGTTTTAAAAGGAAACAAAACAGCGGTAGAAGCAGAGGAAACTTTAAGAGGAACCTTTTCAGACGAAAAAAATGAAATGTTATTTACCAAATTCGAAATCAACTATAACAATTTACCACAGATTTATAGAAAGGGCTCTGTAATTTTTAGAAAAATGCTTCAAGAAACAAATGAAAGTGGTGTAACAAAATCTAAAAAGAGATTGGTGGTCGAACACATTGACATTATTGGGGAAAAGTTTTGGAAAGAAAATGATATTTTAAAAAATTAATAAAATTATATAATTTTATATGTAAATAATCTATTTTTTTTAGTATTTAAATTTATATTTATTAATCTAAATATAATATTTATTTAAAAAAAAAAATGATAATTTTTTTTTAAAATTTTTTTTTTTTCTCCCACAAATCATTTCGGTTTTTTTTTGTTTTATAATCAAAAAAATGGCATATTATTTTTTTTTTTATGTGATTTTTTTGTATTGATGGAAAATAAAGGTGATTTTAATTAGCGTGTAGGTCATCAAACCCTGGACCAGAGTTTTTCTGCCCTTGTGTTTATTATTTTTCAAAAAGTCAACTACAAAGAAATTAGAAAAACGGTATTTCATAGTACATATTAGGGTAAATTCGACCCAGTCCCTTTTGTGTCTCCGTATGACCAACATACTTTTTTATAAATAAACAAATAAAATAAAATAAAATATAAAAATTTTTACAAACTATTTACAAAACTTTATTTCTTTTCTTTTTTTTCTTTTTTTTTTTATAAATGAATATAAAAGATACAATCTGATTTTAATTAACATTTCTTGAGTCATCCCATTGATCCCACAAAATAACATCACCGCTCCACTAAAATTAATGAAAAAAATAAAAAAATAAAATTATTAATAATAAAACAACTATAAAATAGATAATAAATAATAATTTACACTAGTTGTAATTAACTCTAAAGAGTTTGGAGACCAGGCCAAGTCACGAATTGGAGAGCTACTATGATTTAATGATTTGACTATTTTACCAGTTAAAAGATCGTAGATATAGGCAGTACCATCAAAAGAGCCAGAGTAGATATACTTTTGACCTGTAGTGGCCATTGGTGAAAAATAACAACGAATTAATGTTTGAAGTACTTGATGTCCTTTATATGTCATTAAAGATAAGTCATTAATTGGATTTGAAAGACCACTATAATCATTATTTCTGAAATATAAGTAGCCTGATCTTGGGTCAATATAGTCAGCTGGTAATTTTGTTTTGGGATCACCCATCTTTCTAATGTCCCAAAGTTTGGCAGAGTGGTCTTTGCTGTTGCTTAATAAATAAACACCGTCTTCTTTTGATGATACATGTGTAATACCACGCTGATGGCCAGTGAAAATACCAATTGGATCAATTTTGCCATTTTGTGTTGAGTCGAGCATTCTTTTATCCCAAATTTTAATTGAGGTGTCATCGCTGCCACTCATAAATATATTGCCGGTACAATCTAAGTACGATATACTATTTACATCTATTGGGTGACCACCGAAACTACACAAATTTGATCTTGTCTCTAGATCATATATTTTTACTATACCTTCTGAACAGCCACATAATATTTCTTTATTGTTTGGTGAAAATTTTAAGCTATATACACAAAATCTTTCTGTGGTTGGGCTATTTATATTTAATTAATAAAAGAGTCAGTATTTTAAAGTTAAATTAAAAATTAATATAAATTAGTTACTCTAAAAATAAGCTTTCGTGATAATTTTCTGCATTTTGTCTAATACCTCCTCTGATGGTTTGATTATTTGTGTTTCTGGTGTAATCTTCATCACTTTGGTTATAATCTACTCTAATCAATTGTATATATTGACTCCATGAGGAATAAATTAACCAGTTTTGATCGGGGCTATAGTCAGTATCAATAATTGACCAATGAATATCAATAGCATCAATAGTTTTAATTTTTTCCCAAGTACTTGTATCGTAAATATTAATTTTTTTATCTAAAATAAATATAAAAACAGTTAATATTAATTTTGAAACAATTTTAATAATATAAACTTACCTTGGCTTGCGGTCATGAGTCTTTTCCCATCATTAGTTATTTTACAACAAAAGGCCCTACCTTCCAATGAATCTATTAATACACCTTTGCTTTTTGGTAAATAGTGTTGAGATATTCTAATATTTTCAACTCCTCTTTCTTTAATCTCTCTCTTTTAATAATAAAAATATTAGTATAATTATACTAATATTTTATATTTAAATAATAATAAAAAAGTTACATTAAATAAATACTGATCAACCTTGGTATTACTATCTCTTGTTCTTGATTGTATTTGAGAAACGATGGTTCCTTCAGTTAAAGATTTTATTACCTTGGCACTATTGTTAGTACTACTATCATTATTGTTATTATTAGTGTTATTATTTCTACCACGATAGTGATTTAAGACCTCCCTAAAAAATGATGGAATTAGTTCTGATAAAACGTAGCCATCATCTTCTTCGTCATTATCATCTAATACATCTTCATCACTATAAAAATCTTCGTCTTCGTTGTCTTCTTCGTCTTCGTATTCTTCTTCTTCTTCTTCTTCTTCCTCTTCCTCTTCTTCGCTTTCGCCAATACTACTATCTTCTTTATCATTATTGTTGTTTATATTATTGTTATTGTTATTACTATTGTTGTTGTTGTTGTTGTTGTTGTTGTTGTTGTTGTTGTTGTTGTTGTTTAATCTCGATCTTTTATTATTTATACGACTGTTATTAAATACATCACCATTGCTACTAGTATTATTGGCATTTAATTCATAATACTCCTCATCCTCATCATTGATATCATCATCATCCTCCTCTAATAGTATTTCATCCACTATATCTTCATATCCGTCATCATCATCAATACCACTTGTATCTGAACTACTTAATGACATTGTTTTATTTTAATATTTATTTTATTTTAATTATTGGTTTATAAATATTTTTTATAATAATACAATTTTATTATTTTATTATTATTGACTATATTATTTTTTTTATTATTGTTTTTTATTATTTATTATTTTATAATTATTTTTAATATAATTATTATAACAAATTACAAAAGATACTTAATTTAAAATAAAAAAAATTAAAAAAAAAATTAAAAAATTAAAATTTTTTTTTTTTTTTTTTTTTTTTTAAATTAAATAATAATTAAAATAATTGTGTGAAAATAAAAAAGATTCCATTGCTTCTTTTTTTTTCTATATGGGTGATTATAAAAAAGATATGATAGTGGGTGAAAAACAAATATATGAAATTTAATCAAATGTGGTTAAATTCTCAACTTTTAAATTATTGGATTAAAATGCTTTGAATATTAAAAATTTAAAAAAAAACAGGACATTTTAACTCGAAAAACTAACAATAGTAATAATTATTATTATCTGGAGAAAAAAATAAAAATATATTAACCAGTTTTTATTAAAAAACAATTTTTTTATTTTTTTTATTTTTTTTTAATTTTTTTTTTTATTTTTTTATTTTTTTTTCTAAAAATTTAAATTTTTTTCTTTTTGCATAAAAAGAAATTTTTTAAATTTTTTATTTTCATTAAATTCAAATCAATAAATAATCAATAAATAATAAAATGTTAGGTTCATTAAAAGAAGTCAAACCAGTCGACGCTGAAATCAAAGAAGTCTTATCAAAAGTTGATGACAAAGTCAAATCAACCTTAAATGTCACTGAATTCGAACCAGTCTCATACAAAACTCAAGTAAGTTAATCAAAATTTAAAAAAAAAAAATCAACAAAATACTTATATATTCATTTTTTATATTATAGCTTGTCAACGGTACCAACTACTTTGCCAAAGTTAAAACCCCATCA